AAATATTATACCCAGCATTTCTCTACGACTTGCGAGTGTAGGCAAATTTATGAGCTTTAGACGACTTGTGTAAGGGGGGAGATTGTAATCTGAATCCCAGTTAAAATTACGCAATGCAAAAAGCAAGAATTGTTTTTGAATTGATTCAATCCTTTCTGAATGAACTTGGTAGCGGGGATTCCAAACAATAGATCCGTATTCTAGTATAGGTCTAACTAAACTGGTAAAAAGAGCTTTTGTAACATAAGGATCTTTGAACTCTTTTGACCATCGCCTTACAAATGCAAAAACGCCTTTGGCTTTATTGACTGTAACATTAATATGATGGTTGAAATTGAGCTTGGAATCCATTGTGATACCAAGATCGACAAAATTGGATACCTGCTCCAGATTATAATTTGATATTGAATAAACAGCTGGTTGAACAGCCCTCCGAGAGAAACACATAACTTTACATTTTTGAAGGGTTAGTGGCATATAGTTTGTATTACACCAACTAACCACGTTGTTCAGATCCGCTTGTAACAAAAACCTTTCTTCGATAGAGGACAATGTTTTAAAAAGTTTCACATCATCGGCATACATTAAAATTTTTGAATGTTTTATTATAGAAGAAATATCATTAATGAATATCAGGAATCGGACCAAGGTGGCTTCCCTGAGGAACTCCTGAAGAAACTTTAATGATGTTGGAGGAACAATTATTAACAATAACTATTTGTGTTCTATCAGAGAGGTAAGATGAGATCCATTAAAGAAGACTGGGCTGATAGCCGATTAGGTCGAGTTTACGGATGAGTAACGAGTGACAGACTTTGTCAAAAGCTTTACTGAAATCGGTGTATATTACGTCGGTATGAGCATTTTCTCTAAAACCGTTTGAGACATGAGTTGTAAACTCCAATAAATTAGTCATAGTAGATTTTCCTTTAGAAAATCCGTGTTGAGATTGTGTAATTGAAGAAGATATAGAATATGTCAGCTGGTTAACAATAATTGCTTCGAATAATTTGGGGATAGCGGAGAGTTTCGCTATGCCTCGATAGTTTTCTATAGAGGACCTGCTGCCGTTTTTGTGAAGTGGTATTATGAAAGACTCCTTCCAGGCTGACGGAAAAACGCCATGTTTAAGTCAGCGCAGTATTTAAGAAAACAGGTCGGAAAAATTAAAAATTAAGATTAAAATACTTTTTTCGCAAAATCTATAAAGGACCGTTTTATTTTTCAAAAAAAACCTGTGCGACAGTTATTATTTTACACCCCGTAGATAATATGAAAGAAAACATTCAGAAAACATTGCTATCACGAGCGAGGGCAGACTAGAGACTTCTAGTGGGACTGCTTAGGGTGCGAACAGAGTGGCCGCTTGTTGCCGAGCCGAGCCGACTGACGCTTATTGCGAGAACTTGTTCATGCGAGAAACAAGTTTGAGTGTGCATAGTGGATGCGAGAATCAGCGCTGATATTTTATCTATTATTTGTGTTTTATGTATGTTTGTATGCATTTGGGTTTGTTGTTCATTCGTGTTTGTGAAATTGAAGTGAAAAGATATGGATTCGTCAGATGATGAGTATTTAGCTTAGGCTACTGTTTTAAAGTATTTTATCAATAAAAAATCATTTGGAAAACATCCAATAAATGATAAACGAAGTGAATTTGGAGAATTTCATCACTTATATAGTGATTTAAAATAAATAAATAAAAAAATAAATAAAAAAGATTTTTTAATAACAATAATTTATTTATTAGGTTTTTCTTATGTATTTTATATTAATCGAAAATTTTTTTTTATAATTTTTATTTTATTTTTATTATGTTTTTTAATTTTTTATATGTATATTTTATTTACTTCTTTTATTACATTTTTTTTTTAATTTTGTTTATTTTTTTTTTTAATTTTTTTACTATTGTTATAATTTTATTTAATTTTTATTATTTATTTGAATTTTTATTTTTTTGTTTAATTTTTATTTTATTTTTTAATTTTTATTTTATTTTTAAATTTTATTATTTTTTTAATTTTTTGATTGCATGTTTTATTAACTTTTTCTTAAATTTTTGTTTTTAATTTTTTTTTATGTTTTCCAAACAAGTTGAAATCATAACAACATAACATAAACAATGTTTTCGGCGCTGAAATACGCTTTGGAACTGTTTTCTCGCATTCAATCAGCTTTGCGCTCTGACCAGCTCGGCGCCCACTATGACCTGTTCGCGCTTATTTGTACTAATTTGTATAGTACCAGTTTTCTCGCATTGGTTCTCGCAATAAGCGTCAGTCGGCTCGGCTCGGCAACAAGCGGCCACTCTGTTCGCGCCCTTAGGGGGCACTGCTTACCGTAGCAATTCGCGATTTTTAGGAATTATCTGTAAAACTTCTGCAAGGCTCGTAATTTTTCCGCGATCATAAAGGAAAACTTCCTTCAGATTGAAACTATAGGAACTATAGGGAGTAGCCGAAAATTGAACCGCGTTCAGATTTGCTTGCTGGGATATACAAGCCTAGTAGCTCATTTTCAGCTCAACAATATTTATTTAAAAGTATTAACAAGTTTGCATGCGTTTGTTAATTGTTAACACATTCATTACTTTTAAATGTTATTTTTCATCGCTTAGATTACGTATATTTTATTCTATTAAACATTAACATGCAAACTGAACATTAAAAACTAATTTATTCCCATTAGCCTCTGGATATTTGAAAAAAAAACTTGTGGAATATGTAAAACAACGAATTTCCGAAAATGTGGTATACATACTGTTACTCACAAAATTAAGTGTAGGTTTTTTTTTGTTAAAGTACGCAATGTTTTACATGCTCAATGTTTTTTTTTGTAATATTGTATTAAAATGTGGCTAATATATTAGCAAACCGCATTTAAATCCAAGTATGAAACTGTGTGCGAAAATTAAGGAAAATCTGCAAAGTTTCAGCAAAATTGCAGACTTTTTAATAAGAGTTTCTAAAAAAAAGTCAGATATGCAGTTTTATAGCCCATTAAATCTTAATACAATAATGTGTGTTGATTTTTGAGAATTTTTTTTTGCTGACTGTCCTACACATTGTTTTCTTTAAAAAAAAATCTGAAAATACTTTATATGTAAAAATGCGTAGGACAGTCAGCAAAAGAATTCTCAGAAATCAACCCAAATTTTTATACATTTGAAATTTGCACATTATTGTACTAAAATTTAATGGGATGTAGAACTGGATACCTGTATTTTTCTTTAATTCTTATTAAAAAGTTTGCGATTTTGCTGAAACTTTGCCGATTTTTCTGAATTTTCGTACACAGTTTAATTTAATTTCAAATGGGGTTTGCTAAAATATAAGCTATGTTTTAGCACAAAATTAACAAACAAAAAATTAGCATATAAAGTATTGCGTATATTAACAAGTAATTTTTAGCAAAAAAAAAAACCGACTTCAACTCCCATAAAAAAAATATATATATATATATCTCATGATCCACTGATCGGATCTCAACCAGATTAGTATGGGACCACCTCNAAAAAAAAAAAAAAAAAAAAATATTCCGACGAACTGATAACCTCCTCCTTTTTTGGAAGTCGGTTAAAAAAACGTACGCTAAACTTGGTGAGTAACGGTATGTATTATGACACATTTTCGGAAATTAGTTTTTTACATATTTCACTTGCTTTTTTTTTAAATACTCAGCCGTTGTCACCAAAATTGAAAACTTTTAAGCTAAAGATACCCTGAAAGAAGCACCTGGCCCCAAATTTTCGTTTGCAAAGAGTAAACAATACGTAAGGAAAAACGCGCGTAAATTTTATCAGAGAGTTAGGTGACTTACGGAAGGTTTCAAGGCCGGGGCGTACTCCTGTAAGAACAACCATGGCGATGTCCAGAACGTACTTAAATTATGGAACACTTTTCCATCCTATTGAATGACAGCAGATTGAGAGTAGTCGAGAAGACGAACCCGAACCCCAGTCCATGACGATTGAGTCGATGTCCGACCCCGCCATACGCGCCATACAATGTCTTATCGAGCATATTGTGTAAAAAACTGAAGCCCACCATCAACAAACTGATTGAACTTTATCAGTGTAGTTTTAGACCTGGCAAATCCACCATAGATCGGGTATTCACAATACGCCAAATCTTGGAAAAGACCCGCGAGAATAGGATCGACACACACCATATATGCATGTGTTTGTAGATTTCAAAGCCGCTTTCGACAGCATGTCTGAATTTGGTATTCCCGCGAAACTAATGCGTCTGTGTAAAATGACGTTGTGCAATACCGCCAGCTCCGACAAAATTTGGAAGAACCTCAGCGGCTCCGCTGGCTAGGTCATGTCGTTGGAATGGACAAAAACGCTCCAGCTATGAGAGTATTCAACGCGGGTCGCGATGCTGGTAACATAACAGAAGGAATGGGATTGACTTGGCATCTCGAATTGGCGTCAGTTGGCACAGAAGAAAAACAACTGGTGTGCTGTTTTGGACTCGGCCAAAATCGCTAGGCGGTTACAGCGCCAATATAGAAGAAGAAATCACTTGCTAGAGCTGGTCATGGCGATATCAAGAAAACCCTTGTCAAAAAATTTGATTAGTTACTTTAGGTAGGATTTTCTAGGATACAGCCAGTGCAGGCACTGCTAAAAGTATCTCATTTAAAGAAAATTGTCCCAACACCAAAAGTGACTATCTCAAAAGAAAACTATTATTCTGGAGCCAGTCCATACTCTAAGCAGATAAACTTATTTAAGGACATCGTATCCTGTGCCCGTCAACGTTACCGTTTTAAGGCTGTCGCGTAACTGATACTGTCCTGGCGCCGTCAACGTAAACGTACTAGCGAACTACTACCTATCACGTGAACTGGTTAGCCAATTCAAGATATTGCGAGGTTGTGCCTGTCCAGTTACTACGAGAGATAATTTTTGTGTGCTAGGGCATGTCCGATTTCTATTTGGTGAGAATATTGTTAAGAAAATCTATTAAGTACCGGATTAGATTATCTGTAGAAGGGATTTCCATGCCAGAATCTATTTTGACGCTGTCGATAAATCTCAGATACGGAAATCAATCAAGGCTTTGTCTAGAAGATTTCCGGCCCGGTATAATTACCAAATGCTTTTGTATACATACATAAATGGTACTGACACTACATATTAATACTTATTTTATTGCTTTTCCATTCCATAGGTGCAGCTATGGCGCCGCAAATATGACGTTCTCCCACCACCAATTACGCCGGACAATCCCTATTATAGCTGCATACGCAATAACCCCAATTTCAAAAATATACCGGAGGCGGAATTCCCAGACACTGAGTCGCTCAAAGTGCTAATGCAACGCGTCATACCATACTTTGAGAATGTCATATTCAAACAAGTATTGGCTGGCAAGCGAGTTCTTATCGTTGCACATGGCACAGTGGCGCGTGCCTTAATCAAGCACATCGATAGTAAGTGATAAACGTTTATTAATACATATGTACATATCGCACACCTAGATCTAAAATGACGCTAACTTAAAATTCAGATAGGGAAATATAACTGCTTGTGGATCCTACATATTCAACTCAGTTAATACAAGAACAGATATAAAATTAGATTTTTACTTAATGTGTAATTGGTTACAACTTACAAGTCCTATGAATTTATTTATGCAAAAAAACACTCTACTTTTTTTTAGTTGATCGCATACATACATACATAATTGAGAAAAAAATAACCACCGCCAATGGATGCCTACACTGAGGGAAAAACATATTAAAATCAATCAGAAACGTAGTTGATCTTACTATAAACGTCAACCAAAGTGCTGTATGGTCGTTAATATTCAATTCATTTCGCGCATAATAAAATGAAGCATTTGTTCGCGTGTGTGCATATGTGCGGTACACATTGGCGATCGAAATCGAAAATTTTGCTCAAATTTTCCCTGTTTGACCGTGTGACCGCTCGATTCGTCAGTCAATAGTCAACCTCAAAAAATTTTTGTGACTTTTTAAAAAAAAAATCAACTCTAAGAATTTTAATTAACTAATAGTATAATAAAAAATGTGATATAAAATAATCAAGACAAAAGATGGCCGTTTTTACCAGTGTTGTAATTGAAAATTCCCAAAATCCGAGCAAGTTTCATTTCAATACGATGTTGTTGTGCACTTCACAGATAGTTTTTAATAATTAAACCGAAAATAAAAATGTTTAAATTTTATGATCTGCCACAGTTAGATGATTTTTCAACTAATATTGAATTATTTGCAAAGATATATATCAAAAGTGTAAGCATTTGGTTTATCTCAATGAGGCTGCATCATCAACTTGAAGTTTGTTACTACATAGGTAGAAATAAATTAGTTTCTCTGAGGTAATTGGTTGAGCTATGCCGTACTGGGTATGTACACTTACAAATATGTACGCACTCAGATGTGGACATTCAAATACATACGTGCGTGCTAAATTTTGCTATGAAAATATTATTTATAAATACGAACATTTTTAAACGATAACCAAATATAAAGTAATAATTTTTACTATGGATTATTTCTCTCAGTGTATTTCCAAAACCCTGAAAAATATAAAAATTGGAACTATGGCATTTTAATATGGAACTTTTCAAATAATTTTAAGCTCTTTTTAAAAGAGTAACTCATTCTAAAAATTGTGCCTTCAACCCTTATTTGACTGAGGATAGTATTTACCTACAAAATGTTAAATCAATAATTAGTACACAAAATACTCTCCCTACATTCGGCGTAGTGTGACCAGATGATCACAAAAAATTACCCAAATTGACTTTAAAGTAAGGTTAGACAAATTTAGAGGCACGCCGCACAATTTAACCTCTACAAATTGAAGCGAACGGTACTCATTAAATTATTTTTAAATTGTTTCTCTCAAAACTTCCCAGTCGGCTTTAAGAGACCTTTTCTGATCTCTTAAAGCGATAGGCCTTCCGCACTCGACGCATTACCTATTTAACTTTGGCCCATACACACCGCGACACGCGCTTCAGCTTTTGCTGAAGGTTAAATAAAAGCTCTGTGTACATTTTTAATGCATAATTTCAAAAATGCCAAATTTTGCGGTACTTTTGAAGATCGGGTGCGATATTTAACTAACTTTTTTCTGGGTATAGGTAAAAAGCGATAAGGATAAGAAGAAAGTTCACAGCAAAATTTTTTAACGTTTCTATAAAATCGAAGCTGGACCTAAAATTCTGAGACTATGGCAAAAATATAATTGCTTAACCTAGCCACAAAAAGGTTAACTTGGCCATACTGATTCGGCGTCTTTAACTATTTTCATACTTCTTATAGTTTTTAAGAGTTGCCGCATTGCATTATTTAATACATTTCTTATCATTACCTTTTGCAGAAGTATCTGATGAAAACATCTCCACAGTGAATGTCCCAAATAGTATACCTTGCGTTTTCGAATTCAATATGGAAACCAGTGAAAAAGTTGGTAATACAACATTCTTAGCAGATGAAAATTATTTGAACGAGCAAATACAAAAGACAGCATCAATTGGGCGATCAAATAAATAAAAAACTATTCAGCGAGTACAAAATTACTTCTCAGACATAAAGAAATAAAATATATTAATAAAAACAAAATTGCAGAAAGAGACTTTTAAGTTAATGATAAATTACATTATAATATTATCGTAACTGTTTTTATGTGTTTACCTATATATTTGTATGTATGTATAATGTAAATAATAGTATTTAGTATATACCTAATGTGTAAATTATAGTGATTGTGAATGCACAATAAAACTAACGATCTTTTATATACAAAAAGAATATTGAATACAGACAGCCTTAAGATTTTATTTTTCATCAAGGGAAAAGAAACAAGTAAGAGCAGCGCTGTCTTCGGCTATGCCGAAGGCTTCATACCTTTCATGAACATCTGCAAATTTTACTTTGACAGATTACTGCTTTTGAATACATCTGCATACATCGATAGAGGAGTTACATACTTATATAAAAAATCGCATCTAAACAATCAGAGGTATGGAAGATATACTTTATATGGCACCAATCTAAGTGATTTTCACTGCTATGTGATCGGTATGTAAACCGGTAACACAATTTATTGGGTTTAGTTTCCTACATAAAGGAGATATATGGCAAAAACTGGTATCTGAACAATCAGTGCTATAGGAGATAAAGCTTATACAGCATAGATTTTGACGATTTTCTCAGTAGACTTTGTATTATTATTTATAAAATATCTTACGAAATTTATCGGTTTTAGCTATTCAAATAAAGGAGTTTTACCGTAAAATCCCATATCTGAACAATCAGATGTATGGAAGATATATGTTGTAGTCATCCGATCCTTGTTATTTTCACTGTAAGTATTCTGTAAATAATGAGTGAAAGTGGTGCGAAATTTCATGTTCCTAGCTGCATAAATGGAGGAGTTATGATAAAAGACCTCATATCTGAACAATCAGATGTATGGAAGATATATGTTGTAGTCATCCGATCCTTGTTATTTTCACTGTAAGTATTCTGTTAATAATGAGTGAAAATGGTGCGAAATTTCATGTTCCTAGCTGCATAAATGGAGGAGTTATGATAAAAGACCTCATATCTGAACAATCAGTTGTATGGGGGCTGCAGGTTATAGTGACCCGATCTTTGTTATTTTCGCTGTAAGTCTTCTGTTGATAATGAGTGAAAACAGCGCGAAATTTCATGGTCCTAGCTACATAAATGGATGAATTATAACGAAAAATCTCATATCTGAACAATCAGTTGTATGGGAGCTATAGGTTATAGTTACCCGATCTTTTTAATTTTCGCTGTAAGTTTTCTGTAGATAATTATTGAAAACAGTGCGGAATTTCATGTTCCTAGCTATATAAATGGAGGAGTTATAACGAAAAATTTTATATCTGAACAATCAGTTGTATGGGAGCTATAGGTTATAGTGACCCGATCTTTGTAATTTTCACTGTAAGTATTCTGTTGATAATGGGTGCAAGTATTGCAAAATTTCATGTTCGTAGCTGCATAAATGGAGAAGTTATAATGAAAAATCTCATATCTGAACAATCAGTTGTATGGGAGCTATATGTTATAGTGGTCCGATTCTTCCGGTTCCGACAAATGATTAATACATTATAAAAATACACCCACCTACCAAATTTGATCCGGATATCTCGAAAACTGAGAGACTAGATTGCATACAAACAGACAGACAGACGGACAGACGGACAGACGGACAGACGGACAGACGGACATGGATAAATCAACTCAGCTCGACGTTCTGATCATATAAGTATACATTTTGATGGGTCTATCTCTTTTTGTTCTGGTACTTACAAACATCGGACCAAAGTTATAATACCATTTCATGCTCATGAAAGGTATAAAAAGACATAGATCTTCGTTTGATAGACCTAAGTGGTGTACAAATAGCTCAGCTTATTTGCATTAGAGGCCTTTATTTGTATTAGCTCATGAATTATCCCAATACAAATCTCGTGTTATAGAACAGAACCAAGGGTTCACCGGGCTCCTATCGCCGTATTTGTATGCTAGTTACTATGGAGAAGAATCTGGACTGAATCGTCCTCAATCGCTTACTCTGCATTATCGAAAGTGAAAACGGGCTATTGCAATTTAGTTTTCGCAAGAAGAGGTCTACGATAGCGACAATAAAGAAAGGCGGAAACAAAAAATACTGCACTATAGTGACTCTATACGTCAAAAACGCTTTTAACTCTGGAAACAGACATTCAAAGCCCTTACGAGGTTAGTGGTTCCCTCGTATCTCTTTAATACCATTCGGAGATACCTCAGTGGTAAGCGACAAGAAGAAGAGCAAAAAAGCTATGCGGTAACAGCAGAGTGCCGCAAGGCTCAGTATTTGGTCCAACATTGTGAACATTAGGTTTGTATAGTAACTTCTCCAGTAAAACATTGCAGCGAGAGCGTAAAAGCAAAATAGAGCGTAAAATTGAGAAGAAGAGAAAACTAGCAGAAAAAGTTACTGAACGCAAAACTAGTAAAAACTTGCAAGTGAATATTTGTTGCACCCTTTTGATATTCTGCCGTAAACATATTACTATTTATAAATCAGTTTTAAACTCTTTGCTTTTTACACAAGCACTTACACAGTCTAGTACATCATTAATATTTTGATTTCCACTCATTTTACTTTTGTTTGTGATAAACCAATTCAACAAATGGCGGCTTTTGACATTTATTCTTCTTCTTCTTCTGCTAGCTAATTTCTGCTAGTAAAAATTTCCCTACCAAGAAGTTGCAGCTCTCCCGTGTTGTTACGCTCTCAATTCAGAGCTCTCTTTCAAATTTTTTGGGTTATCATACACGTTTCCAGTAAAAATTTTTAGGTTCCAGTACAAATTAGTACTGACTATTGGTTACTATACAAACCTATTATGTACGGCGCCGTACTCCGCTTTCAGTGTCCCACTGATGTTAACATTACTGGATTTTTGGACAACATAGTGGACTACGTAAACAGAAAGTCGAGAATAAAGGTAACGTTGCAATCACCACCGTAATGGACTGGCTAAAAAAGATGAGACTTTCTCTAGCAGAGGACAAAACAGAAGCGATTTTGTTAAGCAGCCACAAGAAGGTAGAAATAGCTCCTTTCACTGTGGATAGGCACCACCAAAATGTACACTGCCTCCTCCAAGGAGGAGCAGACAGAGTGTACTTACAAGGTTGATTACCTTCACTCTTCTATACGTAGCATCAGTGTGGAATTAATCGTTGAAAGTCAAGGTGCACCGAAAACACTGCAGTGCCCTGCAGAAACTGTGTGCACTCAGAGTTGCCTCTGCGTACAAGAGGACATCAGCGGTTGCTGGTATGATACCAGTTTCCATTCAAGCTGAAGAATTCACACGTATCGCAATGTGAAGGACAAGCCGCAAAGAAACAGAATCAGAAGCCGCAGAATCTGCGTGTTATGTAGTCTTCAACTGCTCGCGCTCCAACGCCGTTAGAACGCAACTAGCGGATTCGAAAAACACAAGGTCACTTCCGCATAAGCTCGTGGGCATCATGCTCATCTCCGAGAGTGCATGGACTTCGAAAGATAAACAAGCTGCAACGTGGAGACGACAACAAACGCCATAAAGTTTTACTAACTGAACATGTCGCGTACATAATACGTATACATGTGACCTCGACATAAGGGAAGGGGGTGGGGGTTAGCTGACCCGGCAGGAAAGGTGTATATGGGTACAATATAAATACCCAGGGGTCAAGTGGGTGCAACTTTTATCTCACTGCACCAAGACTAACTAATACTCTAACAGACGTTACGACTATATATTTAAATTATCTTACATGCTTCAGTTATCATGCCAACAATAAATTTATAAAAAAATCACCAATATTTTTTGGTCAGTTTCAAATCGATCCAATAGCGCGCTTCAAGGTCATTAAGCATCCTGTATTGCTTACTTTAGAAAATTGAAAGTTGGTATAGGTATTACAAATATCAAAAGAAAAAAATTAAACAGTTTCCCCGTTTTCTACGATGAACTTTTTCCCCCCCCATACAAAAATTGTACCACTCTGATGTAGATGCATAAACTAAACGCAAAACGAATGGTTGGAACGAATAAAAAATAATAATTTTTTTATTTGAATTTAATATGAAAAGAAAAAATATTTTTCACGTAATTGAAATATTTGCATACATACATATATACTGTACTCGATGGTACAATTGTCACAAACGAAAAGTAAACGTTTCTTGTCCGGGAAAAAGACGATGGATCATTCAATTTCTTTCTGGCTAACTACAAAACCAAAAATGATAACTATGATGATCGATGAGGAAATTGGGAAATCGTTTTGTACTGTTTATTTTCGTATCCTAGTAAAAACATATATGCCTAATTTAAAAAAAAATGGACTTCCGGTCAGTTTAACATACTTCCGGTTAAAACCGGCAGTCCACCAAAAGATAGACCATCTCCGATTTGGTAAGTAATATTTTTACGTTATTCAATAAAAAACATTTCCCCCATTTTAGAAGGGGTGTTCTAGGACATCTTTTATGATATTTTGGCGGTTAAAAGTAAGTCTACTAAGTGTGGTCTGCGTCTTAATGTTCTTACACTAATGGAAGGACCTACAGTTATACGACGCTTCCAAACGGCGAATGGATTTTATGAGAAGCTTTTTCATGGCAGAAATATACTCAGTGGTTTTCCCTAACGGCCGCACCTACTTGTCACTTTAATAGAAAACATATGAACATCGAACCGAAAGTATCGATATGGTACTCATTTAAAATATCGCTGTAAAAATATCGGGTACCCATTAATATTGGAATAAAAAGACTCGATATTCCAAATATCGATACCAAAATCAAAAAAATGAATTCTGAATATTGGTCTCGTTTTAAAATTGTTTTAAAACCAATATTAATAAAACAAGGTTCAATGGAGAATTTAGGATGGTAACTTTTGATAACGTCACGTAAGATACTTCGATTTACACATTAAGAATTTGGAAAATTAACCTTAAATATTTCAAATATTACAA